TTGCTATGAGCCAGGTGCTAATTTAAGCACTCTAAATATGTTATTCATTTAATCTTTTTAATAATCCTATGAAGAAAGTATTATCATTATTATCCCATCTTACAGCTGAGGAAGTGAGGCCTGGAGGGTCAGTAACCTGCTCAAACTCGTACACCTTGCAAGTGGCAGCCTCAACCAACCCAGCTGCAAGGACTATATTTGTATTTTAATTAGAAATAAACGAGTGGTCTTCTATACTGGTCATATTGATTTGTTCTCTTATCAGCTTGACTGTACTTTTTTGCTATATGTTCATCAAACTTTTAGAATCACAGGAAGAAAAACTGACCCTCAAAACAGAATGTGCGTTTCTTTTCTAATCACTGAAGGTGAGTGTCTTCTCATGTTTTAACACCATACACACCTGCTTACACTTGCCTGTTTACACACCCGTCTAGCCACACACTTGCCTATTCTTATCTCTTTGTATCCTCCTATTGGAATTTTGGTTTTTTACTTACCAATTTTAAGGACATATTTATATATTAGTGATACTAATTAATCTGTCATGTTAAATAGTAATATTTTTCCTAATTGGTTCTTTATATGTTGACCTTGCTATTGTTTTTCTGGTAGAAGGTTTCTGATAAAGCCATAAACATTTATACAATTTTATACTATATGTAAAATTTTATGCATGAAGAGCTTCATGTAAAATATAAAATTATCAATCTTTCAAAACAATTACAAAGATTTAAGAAAGGAGTCTCATGTTTTTTCTACTATTTTTGTGGTTTAATTTTAAGAAATTAAGTATTTGATTCACTTGGAATTTATCTTACATGAGATATGGATACAACTTGATTTTTCCTGAGAGGTCTCTACTTGTTATTTTTAAATAGTCCATCATTTTTTCACTCATTTGATATGCTGCCTACTGCCTTTATAGTCATAGTATTACATAATATATTTTCATATGCAATTTGACTCTTCTGTTCCGTTTTGGTGTCTATATATGTATTAATATTATCCTAGTAGTTAATTATTGAGGCTTTATGATACATTACTTAGTAGTGCTAGCTTCTTTCATTACCCCTAATTTCGAGAGCTTTCTTTATTGAGCTTACCTCTATTTTATTTGAACTTAGTAATCACCTTGTCAACTTTCATTTTGAAAACCCCAGATGACATATATATTGGATGAGACATATTTTGAAACTTTCTCCAATACAATGCACTTCCTCTAGACCTTGTCAGGTTCAGCTAGACGCTGGTGGTTGTCACAAAATGATGTATTAAAAATTGATGTTGTGTTTTCTGACTGTGAAAAGGTAACTGGCATTTATTCACTAGCATTACCAAAAGATGTCATTTAACCACTTAATGTTCCTAGTTGCATGATATTTGTCATCTCTTTCAAGTAAATTACAAGGAGAAAGTACATATTCAAATTTTTTAAAAAATCCTATAGCCTTCAAACATGACAACTCTGCCGTTTCACCTCTGACCAGAAATTACCTCAACTATGTTATAGCTGTGAAAACATCGGTGCTGCAAGTTCACCACTACTGTCTATACCTACTGAGTAAGAAACTGGGAGGCTGCAGCCAGCAATCAGTCTTTTTATTTGTTTATTTATTTAATTTATTGATTTAATAGTGGGGGGTATTGGGAGTTGAACTCAGGACCTTGCACTTGCCAGGCAGGTGTTTGTGCCGCTGAGCTACATCCCCAGCCCAATCTGTCTTATTAAATACATTTAAAATTTTTTAATTGGTGCAGAGTAGTTATAGATATATATGGGATACAATATGAAATTGTGATAAAACTATAATGTGTTGGGAACTGTGTTAGTCAACTTTCTTTTACTATCACAAAATACCTGAGATGATCAACTTATACAGAGGATGAACTCATGTTGGATCAGCTTTGGAAGCTTCAGTCCATGACCGATTGGTCCTGGGGTTTTCTGGGCCTGTGGGAAGCAGCACATCACGGTGGATTGGAGCTGCTCACCTCAGGGTAGTCGGGAAGCAAAGGAGATAAGGAGGAAGGGGCAGGTCAGGACCAGAAGAATGCCCATGGGCTCCACCTCTACACGTTTCATGACCTTTCAGTAGTGTCAAGCTGTTCAGGAAAAGTCAAAATCCTCTCCACTAGCTATTTTGATAGATTTAACTGCTGTCCCCCTCAGTGACATTCCTATGTGACAGCAACAATCTGTTTTAATAAGCCTTCCCGAGGAACCTGACACATGCTCACATCTGAGAGCTGATGAGCTACATCAGTGTTCTCAATCTTGGCTAAACACTACAGCTATGTAGGGAGGGTTGGCAAATACTCATGCTTAAATGAATTAAGTCAGAATTTCAGGGCTTCAGCCAAGTAATCAGTATAGTCCTCTAGTGATCCCTAGTCAAGCCAAGACTGAGAACCACTGCTTTAGTCTGGAACAATGGTTCTGAAACTTGGCTTCTCAGTGCAATTATATGTGGAGCTTAAACAAAAATTCTGATGTGGAGAATCTCACCTAGAGATTTACATTGATCTAGATGCAGCCAAAGGTCACTTTTCTTAGCTGGTTCTAATATCCATTTGCTATTGTAAACCACTGTTCCAAAAATGCCATTTTCCCCACAAGTCATTTAAAGAGAATAAAGCTTAGGGGTGGTGGAAGAAATACATTTTCATTTCCCATCTCTTTAGTCAGGCCTTACAGTATATTAGGCTAGTTACTAGGAAGATTAAAATGTAAGTATAAACTACATTTCCTGCCTAGAGGGAATATATCATTGATATCAGCATTAGAGATCTGAACACATGTATATACGAATAATGATTCAAAAGGAACACATATTTTGTGCTACTGACTATAATTCAATAAAATAAATTATACATATCATTATGTCACTGTTAGCTCACACTCTTTTATAGTCTTTTTAAAAAAGAAGGAAGGGGCTGGGGATTTAGCTCAGTGGTATAAGTGCCTGCCTAGCAAGCACAGGGACATGAGTCTGATCCCCTGTACCAAAAAAAAGAAGGAAATATATGGTAAAAAAGCACTTTTGACTGCAATCAGCAATCAGCATTGACGTACAGAAAGTAGGGGAAAGATTTAAGAATTTAAACAGTGAACAAACCTGAAAAGATTAAAAGTTCTTCTGGGGCATTACTAAGAGATGGTCAGTCATGAAGTCACTGGCAGTCACTTTACCCCAACAGTGTCCATTAAGCTAACTTACAACTACTAACAAATTAGCAATTCAGAAATCAGCAATAAAGAAGTTTATAATAACTTTTTTCCCTTTTATTCTTGGAAATACAACTCTAGGAAATACAACTCTGCCCCTTCTTCTAGATCAGCTTCTTCCAGGGACACTTTTTTAAAATAATGAAAAATACTGTCTGAGTCTGGGATGAATTACTAGTTACAGAATTTTTCACAGATATTGGACTATTCAGTTAATTTATATTTAAATGAATAATCAAGCAAAATTCAAAATTTCTCATGTGTATGAAACCAAAAAGTACATAACAACTAAAACTGGACTTAAAATGTTGCAAAATGCTTAGGTTTAGCAGTATTGTTTTTGACAATTCAGCTAAATCTGCTGCACACACTTCTTCGTATTATTATCAGTTGGGGCTGGGGATTTAGCTCAGCAGCATAAGTACCTGCCTTGCAAGCTGGCAGTCCTGAGTTCGATCCCCGGTATCGTATTATTATCAATTACAAAGGCAAAACTATCACACGCTCCTCCAATTCTGTAAAATGGTTTTGTGTCTGTAATCCCAGCATTCCACTTATCTAGAGGACTGCATATTCAAACCCAGGAGGAGGACAGCAAGTTTGAGCCCAGCCTGGATAACTTAGTGATTTAGTGACGTTGCCTCAAAAAATAAAAATAAAAAGGTCTGGGAATGTAACTCAGGACAAAGGCCCTGGGTGCAATCCTGAGTACTGACCAAAACCCCAGTTTGTTCAGAAAAATCCTAAATGTTCATCTGTCTCTTCTATGCTGTTCCATCAGAAAATACTCAGGTTAGAATAGGCCAAAGCACTTTAAATAATATCAATTGAGATACAGAATAGATGTAAGTGCATTCGCATTTACCACAGTAACATTTGCATAACTGAAAATGAACAGGTGAGAATTTTCAAGCATTTTTAATAATGGTGGTGGGCTGAATGATCCAACCACATACTTTCCTTGCTTCCAGGACACATCCAGTACATGGCGGGCTGACAGTATCTTTACATGCGCCCACGAAATAGGATTAGGTCTACTTACTAGTTTCAGCAGGCTTTGAATACATTTGTAACACAATTTACCTTCAAAACAATCGTATGAGAAAAAGATGGAAATTCCTTTTCTGGTTTACTAGATGGAAAGACTGAAGTTCAATCATGTCATTAATGGGGCAATAAAGGCAATCAATCTATGCTGATTATCAGTGCGGCTAGTACGATGACAGTCATCTGCAGAATTAAAAAGCAAAATGGCCTATCATTTCCCTGTCCTCCTTGTTAAATGACCCAACATGGACACAGATGGAGTTGAGAATTACCTCTGTATATGAGCTTTGATTATTGATATGAGCATGTCATGTGATTTCCAATGTGTTAGGACATTACAGTGTTGACATCCAATGCTATAATAGAAACAAAGGCCATTAACCCAAGAACCAAATGCTCAGTCCATTTTTTTTTCATCTACCAGATCACACAGTTTTAAAAGTTCTAGTATTCCTTAAGTAGGATGTATCTGGATATATATATATATATGAATTATAGCAATTATAGTACTGTTTAAGCCACTGATTGCTTTTATTTTACCCTTAAGAATTTGGGAATAATTCCCCTCACTCACTGAGAAGGAGAAACATACGAATGTAATATGGCAGGGCTTGTTTTACCCAGACAGCTGACTAAAATAACATTATCCCCTCAAAAGGGACATTTCAAACACACAATTCTAGGTTAGTGTTTAGGAAGAGATTTGTAAGCAGCCACTACGTACCTGTTCTAGATGACTTTCCCCCCTTTTTTTATTGTGCAGTTGAAGATAAGAGTCTGTTTTAGGAGCTGGAAATCCCAACGTAAGCTTATTTTTTTCCACAAAATATTGTTTAGACTTCCTTCTCCGAGGGCCACGTGATCGTGGGAGGAACACCTCGTTGTGTGAACTCGAACTCTTCAGGTACTGAGAGAGGTTGCTTGACTTCTCCTCCTGGTCACTGTCACTGGGCTCTGAAAATGATTCGCTGACCTGGGCTCCAGGCTCATAGTTTGGGCTTAAAAATTCACTTCCCATTAAGGAGGATGCGCTCTGAGGACTCTTCTTCTCTTTGTCTTTTCTCTCTGAGAGCTCCATCGAATTCTCCTTGGAAGGGTAGAGTGGCGCCAAGGACAGACTGTCTGAAGAGCTGTCTGCAGACCCCGGCAAGGTTTCCACAACCAACAACTGCATGTCCTCTTTTTTATTTTTCCAGTTTGGATCGTATCGGAGGTCTGAATATTTGTCTTTTATAAGTTGTTGACTGGCCAAAGCAGAAATAAAATGGCAAGTCCTTAATCAAAATAAATTCATTCACTGCATTCAGTTGGTCATTTATTTAAAACCAATCTTACTCTCCTCGGATTTCTCTTTTACTGTCTATAGGTTAAAGATACGTCTGGGGCTCATGGTAGACCCACACACTACATACAAAGACAACAAGATCTTAGTTACCTAAGTTCATCAAAATACAGTTAAATTCTAAATGTCAGAAAACAAAAGCACATACCTATCACATTAAATCAATGAATCATAGAGGCTCAAAGAATGCTGTTAGTTATACCACCAACAATAATCCAGCATTTCAGCTGGTAAAGATAAAACTGTAATTCACACTCTTGCTGGTACTATGCGGATTTGGCTACTTTTCCAGGAAGGGAACTATAAACTGTTGCATACAGAACATTTGCCTCAGCCTGCAACTTTTAGGAGTAAAGTCAGGTTTTATTGTAGCTGAATACTTATATAGGGTCATCCTTCTTTTTTGTAATCTTGCTTTTTACTTCATTTTTGTCTTTGTTGATTTTATAATTCCTACTGAAAGATTTCCAAGGCTTAGAATCAGACTGAGGCTCACTAAAGGTCCACAATCCCTTGGTTATTGGATTTATACACACAAAATTCAGCGCACCTCAGCATGCACTTGACACTGTGGGCCGGCCGTGTTTGAATAAAACGCTAAGCATATCGCTCTGCCCCGGGAACACGAACTCGTCCACAATCCATGTGGACGACCCCAAATAAAGTCCTCCCTTTCCCCATGGCAACCTCAATTTGAAAAGCACCTCCTAGTTTTAACCAAAAGAGGAAAAAAATGCTGGTAATATGGCATATTTAATGACCTCTTTCATCTTCAAAAACTAAATGGGAGAGATTTTCCTTCCTTGAGTACGGTGGATGCAATCCTCTAATCAAAAAGAAATGTAAATCACGCAGGCTTTTTATGCTATTTGATATTCCCGTTTACAGAGGACATAATTTTATGCTGGGTAAACAAACTAATGGCCCTCCCTATTACTAATTTAGTTTTCTTAATATGGACCTAGATTTCTTTGATTGATGTAAAGCAAAAAAACAAAAAATAAAAAACCTGGAGAAAAAGCCTAAACTCTCATGCCTTGTTAAACTGTCATATTTTAAAATTTTTTCAGTGTGCATATTAAGGTGGGAAACTTTCTGAAATAGTGTGCTATTCCTTTTCCAACAAGAGATGGGATGTAACGTCCTCTAGGAAAATACCTGAATGTGAACAGTTCATTTATCGGGAAACGGGATGACAAACTGCGTCCCATTGTGCCCTGCGCACTGCAGGATGACGCGCCTTTGCGTTGTGATGGGGACATTTCTCTCTTGCTGTGCAGTAACAGCATCTCTCAGCCTGGCCTTTCACTTGGCTCTCAAGTGTCACTGGATGTGTACATGGGACATGTGTTGCCCAGTAGGGCATACTCTAGACTTGAACTGCAACACCTAGGCTCAAGTTCTGAGTCTGCACTGCTGTGTGCCAGCTGTTAAATGATGTCAGTCTCCCATTCACATATAGGGATAAATTATATTTGTTTTGCTTATTTCTCACGATTGCATAATACTAAGGATCAGGATGAGGCAGCGTATCTCAAAGTGCTCTGTATTTGTGCTCACTTCACTTTTCGTGATGGTCCTCCTGTCTCCTCACCTAGATAGGGTTCTGGGTAGCAGGCACCGTGGGTTATCTGCCTTCCCTAACCTCTGCCCTAGTATACTGCATCATACCCTAGTCATACAGGGTAAATAAGCCCTTCTAAAATGAATAAAATGAATAAATGCATCTCTAAAAATAATCAACCAAAAAGCATCAGATGTTTTTATTTTTAAACCATAGTAATAAGTTAAAATCTACATATGCTGGAGTTTTTGACAGTAGACCAAATTAGGGAATGATTTTTGGGTTTATCTTATGCAGGGTGAGACATAGGTTCGGTTGTGATTGTTCAGGTGGAAAAGAAAACCCAATTACTATCTTAAAGTAAATTAATGAAGAAATGTGTTTGCTCATATCCACAGTCTACTGAAAGGAAAACCTGAACTTTATTCTTCATTTGCTGGCTCCCTCGCTGCTGTGACAAGTTACCGGGAACTTACTGAGCCCGGGGAATACAGCGGTGAATGGCAGTGTTGGGCCCACAGCCTGCCGGGGGTTCAGACGGGGAAACAAGCAAGGTACAGTTTGTGGTGGTGCCTGCTCTGACGAAGGGCATCTGGTCTCAGGAGGGACATTATTCCTGGAGCAAAGCTGGGGGGAGCGTTCCACAGGAAACAACGGCATTGCTGAGCCTTAGGTTAAAGAAGTGCATGCCAGGCCAAGGTAACAGCATGGAATGGAATGGAATGGAATGGAATGGAATGGAAGGGAGGAATGGGATGGAATGGGAGGGAGGCAGAATGTGGTACTCTGCAAGAGCAAATTCTTTAGGGATAAAATTGAGGGTTGAGAAGGGGGAAGGCTGAGGAACAGAGATCAAAGCTGAGCAGAGGTCAGATTTTTTTTTTTTTTGCATGGGGGCATCAAACCAAGGTCTTGACACTGAGCTACATTCCCACTGCTTGCCTTTCTTTACATTATTAGTTTGTATTTTGAGATACAGGGTCTCACCAAGTCACTAAATTGCCCAGGCTTGGCCTGAACTTGCAGTCCTCCTGTCTTGGTCTCTAAGAGACCTGGGATTACAGGTGTCTACCATTGTGCCTGGAACAGTGATCAGATCTTGAATGACTCTGTAAGCTCTCTGAAAGAGTCATACTAAAAAAATTAACCCACGTGTTTAATTAGTAAGGGAAGACTCAGTAAACATTTTTGGACAGAGGGGTGAGTTTCTGGAAGGGTTTATCTACACACCCTACAAAGTCTTTGGGGGAGGGTTTAGAACAGGCAACCCTTTATTTATACAACTTAGAGCTGGGCTGGCTACTTTCTACGGTGCCAACCCTAGGATGCACTGTTCTGCCACTCTGCTGGGGTGTAACATGGAAGGACAGCATGAATCACTGTATGCTGATCTAAGGAAGGCTTGCAGTGAATCTTCTCTTTTTTTCTTAGAACAACTTTGAGGGAATACTGTTCTATTACTATCTCCATCTAACAAAAAGGTTCAGACAGGTTAGGAAAGTTTTCCAATGTCACTGAGCTGCCAGTGGAAGAGCCAGGATACGGGCTCCTGGCAGTCTGCTCTGGAAGCTGGCCCGACAGGTTTCACTGTGCCACACAGCTGTTCCCACAGGAGGTCATGCAGAAAGCGTGTCAAAGCACCTGCCTTAGGTGAGTTAGAGACCCATTCAGTCAGTCAACAGATAGGCAGTGGGTACCTCCTTTTGTATAGGCAGAATACTAGAAATAGAAGATACAACGGTGAACGCGACAATCACACTGATGGATCTAAGCCTCCTGTGAGAAGGCCAGGCTTTCTTCATGCACTGTCATGATTAGCTAGTGAGATAGATGTGTAAAAGAAATACAAGACGTTACAGATATCTAAAATAGTAGGACAGGGCTGGAGCTATAGCTCAATGGTAGAGCACTTGCTTGGCATGCAGTAGGTCCTGACTTCAACCAACAGCATTGCAAAACTGAATGGAAGGAAGAATACACAGGATATAACTTCATTCACCACAGAAAATATATTGACTTATTTTCAGATTCAATTGCTAGATGATATCTCAAAATCCGTTCCAATTTCATTCTTCTATGATCCTATAATACACTCAGAAAAGAATCAAAAATTCAGTATGGCCCATTGTCTTTTAAGTAAGTAGGGGCAAGAGTTTGGATATGAAATGTCTCCCAAGAGCCTATGTATTAAAGGCTTGATTCTCAGCCTGAAACACTACTGGGAGCTACGTGAACCTTTGGGAGGTAGTGGAAAGCATTAATGAGCTGGGGCATACATCTGAAGGGAATACTGGAACCCTGGCCCCTTTTTCTTCTTGTTTCCCAGCTGCTACAAGGGAGTGTTCTTTTTCTATCATGAGCTCCCACCATGATATACTACGCTGCCACAGGCCCAAAGCAAGGGGCCAAGTGACTATGAATGGACACCCTGAAACTGTGAACCAAAACGTATCTTTCTTCCTTACAAGTTGTTTATTTCGATTATTTTGTCATAGGGATGGAAAGCTACATAAAAAGTAGTGTTCAATGACTGGAGAAACAGGACGCCCTGGTTTCTGTCTCTTCAGTTATACCAAGAAAGCTCGGGCACTCTGACCATTGAGTTTAACCAGTATTAACCAATAATGGCACAACATCTATACTCATGGCTACAGACTTTCTTTAGTCATATGTAACATCTATGGTGCCCTGTTTTTCTGAATTATGACATAAAGGGTTGTGGTCCTGAGCAAAATGTTTAAGGCCAAGGGCCCTACAATTAAGAAGCTTGCATGCAATACCTGGTGCTACCAGTTACTGTGTAAACGTGGGCAAGTCATTGAATGCCAAACTGAGAGTACGGACTTGTTAAGAGCTAGCAATGCAGGCTGGGGATTTAGTTCAGCAGCATAAGCACTTGCCTTGCAAGTGTGCAGCTTGAGTTCGATCCCTGGTACTGATTAAAAGAAAAAAAGAGCCATGCAAGTATGTGTCAATGAGCTCTGTCACCTGTACCTGCTGTGTGTTATGCTCAGTCACCATGACATAACACTGTTGTGATGTACTGTGCTTCCCGCTGATGGACTCGAGGGAGTCATTGCTCCCCAGGGCTTAAGTTATTTCCAGGGCATGGAGGTGCCTTGTGATGCTCTAAGTCATACCCAGGTGGCCTGACAGATTTGACATCTCTAAGAACTAGTCTTTAGTTACGACTTAGGCACTACAGAGAATGTGTGAATCATAATTTAGGAAATGGGATCAAGAAATGTCTGTTTTCACACAATGCAATATTTTAACAACCACTGAAAGATAATGAGGAAGGTAAAAGTGAGAGAATTTAACTATTTTAGATCTAAAAA